CCCTCAATTTTTATTTTATTCCCGCGTTTTTTTTATTATAATATAAAAACGTATCGTTTCGATTTTACCAAATGAATTGAAATTAATACAGGTTGTTTACTTTATCGTTTTTATTTATTATTTATTTTTTTTAATAAAATTCCAGGCATACATTTCTTTCGTCAAAGTTCGTTTCTTACCGAATACGCCTTCGTTCTTTTTCGGGTGGTGCATCCATTTCTCTTCAATTTTTCTTCATTCTGTTCGTTGCGGTTGGTATAGTAGGACGGGAAGTGGAGTACTGTCATACAGCTCTCGCGATGTTCGTATTAATGTGTTAAATTTCAATTTCAATTGTTTTTGTGTATGAAAAAGTGATTTAGAGTGTTATGTGAGCAAGCATTACGATGGCTCACGTAGGATCTACGTTACCAGGTAAGTGATTTTTTTTCAAACACATCTGTATATTACTTTCATGTTTCACCCCCTCGAAAGGGTGTATTGATGATATCAAAAGTCATTTGCATGCTATAATGGTTATACTACATTGAAAAAACCTTGTGGCGTGGTAATTTCGTTTTATTTGCAAAATTTTCATTTAGAAATTTGCAAATTACCAAAATAAGCCAACGTCTGGGGTTGTAATATTGTTAAGAATTACGATACTAGAGCGACCCACCCTGTGCAGCTCAAATAGGCACTAACATGATTATGATTCCGTTTCTGCTCATTGTTGCAAAATTATTATTCTTCTGTGATAATAACCATGCTTCTTTTGAATAATAGGTACAAATAAAAATAATTTTAAATTGTCCATCGTATATCAGTTTAATTATTCGGTTGTTTATGCGCATTGTTGTTATTTAATGACCGATTATTGCAATTGTTTTAATTACTACATACATAACTTATGGTAATAAAAATCCAAGTATGCTCCTATTGTAAAATTGATGGTTGCTAATTAGTAATAAATTTGTTTACTAGGATGTAATGCAATCTGTAATTATTTATTTATATACTGTCTAATAACATGTCTAACATTCTTTTTGTAACGTTTTTATTTGCTATTATTTTTTTCAATAAAACGTTTTACAATTACATTTTTTTTAGACTCTTTTGCATTAGCCATCAGGAACATGTAATATTATACATAAATATACTCCTGGTAGACATGCAAATGTTGATTATTATTGACAGTGTTGTAAAATATGTGTATCTTTTAAGATTATAGCCTCAGGCTTTCATATAAAATTTAATACCCACGAACCCTAGCTGATTTTGCTATTGAGATTTAGTTCAACGGTACCTGTCATAAATATTAACATCTATTAAATTTCCCGTTTCTTTAAAATTTTAATATGTTATACAGTTTTGTGTGTTGATTAAGTTGAATTTGTTTTATCCTACCGTAACCTGACTTCTGACCCTAATGTTAGGTTAGGTTAAGGTTTTTAGAGTGCCATTATTTTCTCCTCGTCCTAAGGGTCTTCTGCAGGGAGTGGGTTTGCTGGTCCCGTACTCCTCCTCCTGTAGGTTTTGTATGTACCTGAAATCGAAGGTGAACATATTAATCGAAACATTTACCGCTTTAGTTATTCATTATATGTATACACTAGAGCAGCGGTTCCCAATTTTTCTTTTCTACGGAACCCTTAATGACTTGCCTCTTTTTTTTGTGGAATCCCATCTGATAAAGGTTTTATGTCTAACAATAAGACCCCTGATACCTTATTGTATACCTGCTGAACTCGAAAACTTTATTGTACGTATGCAGGGGCGCAACAACGTTACAGTTTGACTGGGTGCTCCCATCATAATACTATAAATGACTAAAAAAAATGTATTGAATTAAAATACTTGAGAAGATCGAGTTTGGCTGCTCATTTACGAGCTTGAACGATTTGAATCGAACTTTCAAATTGGGTTACTATCTGAATCGACTGGAATTAACTGGGTGCCCAACCCAATCGAGTGGGTGCCCAGGCACCCGTGGACCCCCTTGTTGCGCCCCCTATACGTATGTATGTAAAATACACATTTTTACATTATTATATTATTATTAGTGCTGGTTTATTTTCTTTTTTTTCGGTATTATTATCAGGTACCCGGCCTGATCCTAAAAAAAGTTCGGATCCAAACTAGGTTCCCGGCTCATTTCAACATGGTTTTCAATTTGCTTTTAGGGTTTGGTTTGTACAAACACAATATTGACATATCGACAGTGTGATTAATACGAAGCAATTTTAAAATGTCCACCATATTTTTAATTACCTACATTTCTTCTCATATTGTCATTTTAATGAAAAACGCATTGTTTTTCAGTTTTCTTTTAACGAACTGTATGTAGAGTACTTTTACCGTATTTTTCCTTTCTGAAAGCTTCCAAGTGACCTATCATACTTTATTGTTTTCTCCATCAGCCTTCCTGCTTCAAGAGACAGTTCAAAGAACAAACTGCTTCGTTTCATGTAGGTAATACTTACTATACATACCTATGTGACTGTTGAAAAGAACTCATTCTGTTGTTTTCTTTCATGTGATGTTCAACTAGAAAATTTTTATTTTGCGAACTTCACAACTTCAATATATTTTGTATGAGCGTCTGCCTTTTTTACTTGCTTAATTCCTGCAAACTTAAATTTGAAATACCTTTTCTGGATTGCTCTTTTTAGTTAACGTTATAAAAAGTAGAAATGTTTTCTACTTTTCTACATAGTCGCGTTTGAAGTCTTTCTGTGGTTGAAATATTAGGATTTGGTTTTGCAATAATTAATAAAGGAAAGTAAACGGTTGTATAAGGAGATTAACTAGGTCAGCAAATGCAGTTGGTTTTGTGCTTGTATCTAATATCTGTATACAGGGTGTCGTCAAACCACCTTGTAAACTATAGAATATTGCGTTCAAAAAAGTTCAATAGCAAATATAGTTTATCCTACAGGTATTTCTATCAGAATTGGTACACCACGTTCCACATTTATAAAAAAAAAATTTGAGGTCATTTGAAAATATTTTGGTTGTAATTGATTGTATCTGCATTTTAAAGTTTTAAAAAATATTTTTAAGTATTTCAAATTTTATTGGATGATAACTCCATCATTTCATATTCAGCCTTACGATTATGTACGGCATGTATTTCCAGGTTTCCATAAACCTGGAATATAATGTATTTTCGTGATAGCAGATCACATGTTCAACCCATGCATCTAAATATATTAACAATTTGTAGGTAATTTGTGGTGAACGAATTAACTTTGTAAACCCTGTAGATCTTGAGAAACAGAAGGATCTTTTGGTGAAATATATGCTGGCATGTCATTTATAATATTCGGTTCATATTTTGTAAATAATTTGTAGTGAAAAATTAATTTTTTAAAGCTTATAGATCCTGAGAAATTGGATTGTTTGCTTTGCTATTAGCTTGGTATCATGCTAGAGGATCGCATATTCGTTTGAGAAAAAATTCATGTTCGGATTGGTTTTATGTTTTTCAGCTAATTTGTAAATAAAATAATTTTATAGAATTTATTAGACAGGTACCGCGAATCAGGCTGCCTTTGGCAGTGATTTTTAACAGTAAAACAAATACAAGTGGGTAAAAACTAAAAGCTAATGATTTTTAATATTTATTTAAAAATTGATAAGATTTTTAAACAAGAAAATTATTCTTTTTGTTGACAAGTCTGTATAAATTGTGCAGGGAAACTTATAAATTAATTATGTAATTCCACCGACGTTTCGACAAGACTTTTTCAAGGTTGTAATATATTTGTTAAAAATTAATATATGTTAATTTCTACTTTCTAGTTCCTAAGGGTACAATTACTTAGCTAATAAATTATATTATACAAGAAAAAGAAATAAAATTCGAAAGTCTCTTAATATAATTTATTATCTAAGTAATCAAATAAGTATTGTACCCCTAGGAGTTAGATAGTATAAACTAATATGTTGTACTTATAACAAATATATTACAGTTTTGAAAAAGACTTATATCGGAAGGCGAAACGCCAGTGGAATTACATAATTAATAATTGACATTTCACCCTTCCCAGCAGCTTTTAATTAAAAATACCTAAATGTACCTGTCTAGAAAGAAAGATATACATATTATGTAAAAGGATATTTTCAAGGTGGGATATTTTTGTCAAGGATATTTTGATTGTTTATATAATAAAAAAGGATAATTACAACCGCCACCAAATTACAGAAAGATGATGGGAGGCTTCCGTGACTAGATCACATAGGGTGGTTGCGACAATATTAAAAAATGTTTTAACATAGTTTTGTGGGTGCCCCTATTTTGTGTAGTCGCTGGGCACCAGCCCCTAATACCCTTATTCAAAACCGACCCTGTTGTATTTGATATCAATTACGAATTGACTAACCAACAATTTTTCTTTGTTAATTTTGGAGTAACATTTTTTTTTTTTTTGTTAATTTCAGAGAGTGAAGTACGCACACCTTTATTCTGTACATATAATTGCCCTTTAATAAATGAGCTTTTATTTTAAGAAGTAGTAGCAAATCTTTTGTGAACAAATAAACGATCAGGTAACTTTATACGAAACACCTGTTCCACAGGATTAAGGTGACTTTCATTTGGTCCCTTTTGAAGATATCCGATACCCCTGTTTGTCTTCGTTATGCAGTGCATTAAAAGTTCTTCTTGTATCAGACCCGACCCGAGGCTGCCATACAAACTTGTAGAAATAGAGAATAAGTTCCCCCCCAAAAATCAGTTCCAAAAACGTATAATTACAATTAAGAAGTTATTTTTTTTGTAATTAACTGTTTTAAAATGTTTCCCTTTACTTGTACTATAAAAAATTACTTCTTGCCAAATTTCATTTCAAGTAGCTACCCTAGAGGCTTTGATTCCCTTGGAGAGTGTCAAAATATGCGGCATGATGTGTTGACTGTGTTTGATTTTATCATAACTCATGCGTTCCTTAGGCAGACAAACAGACAGACAAGAAAGTGATCCTATAAGGGTCCCGTTTTTCTTTTTGAGGTACGGAACCCTAAAAAGAATAAGCTCTTTATCGAGTTTGTTAAAGATTACGATCGGAGGAAGTATTATAATATGTATTTATTTTAGTACCTCTACTACCTCAGTATTTTAAATAGTTTTATGTTATTTAAACGATGAAAAATAGTTTCGATTTGGCAAAAATTTTAAAAGCATGGAAGGTGTACAACAAAGTGCAGCAGATGGTGATCGACACGTGCATGGGACCATCGTCTCTCCAATCTGCAGCTGCTGTCTTTATGCACGCAGGGACGGCTTAAAGGAGTTTAAGGGGCGCTAAGGTAGCATTAATGTAGACCTGGTTAGAACTTTGGTGCTTTGCGCTTGAAAGTGTGCTTCCAATCCTTTTGTCGTTAACCTAAGTTAAGGTCAGTCCTGGATGCAGGTTTATTAGTTAGAACTTTTT